ATGAATATTAACTAAACTTTTTTTACATTAAAAGAAATAGGGCCGGGGAGATGGCTCAGTAGAATAAGCGCTTCCCTGGCAAGTGCAAGGGCCTGAGTTCAATTCCTGGTTACACACACACACACACACATACACACACACAAATAATAATAATAAATTGAAAGAAATAAAGCAAAACCTTGGTCCTTTTTATTATTTATTTATTTGGTACAAGGTCTCACTAGGCAGCTCAGATTCATAGTGATCCTCCTGTCTCAGCCTCCCCAGCGCTGGGATTATAGGTGTGCACCACCACACCCGGTTTCGATGGCCTCCTCAGCTCAGGGCCAGCACAGCATGTGGTACCTGTGTCCTTGCACTGCCAGGCAGGCACTTAGACTGCTGAGCTATCTCCCTGGCCCCATCCACCTTCTTAATGCTTTTTAGGGTTAGTTTTGTTTTGTTGTGTGTGTGTGTGTGTGTGTGTGTGTGTGTGTGTGTGTGTGTGTGTGTGTGCAGGGTCTCACTATGCAGCCTGGACTTGTAGTGATCCTCCTGTTTTCAGGCTCCCTAGTGCTGGGATTACAGGCATGCACCACCATGCCCAGAGTCCATTGCCAGCTCAGTGCACCCAGAGGGCAGGGCTAGTGCAACATGTGGTGTCAGGGATTGAACCCTAGCCCCTGCGCTTGCCTAGCAAGAGCTTAGTCTACTGAGCTATCTCACCAGCCCTCTTTATGCTTTTTGCAAATGACAGGGCTGAGTGTGCAGAAATGGCCTTGTAACAAATCTGTGCCATGGCAGGGCCAGTGTCCCCAGCCTGAGGCTGATCTTTGAGATGGGACCTCACATCAGCCTCTAAGCAGCCCTGATGGGGGCAGTACACATCCTCTGTCACTCTGGGGGTGGTCCAGCCCATGTCCAAGGTGCCACCCATAACCATCTGAACTTTCCACAGAGGCACCCAGGGTGGACCAGCCCATGGGGAAGGCCAGGGACAGCTGTTGGTAGGGACAGTGGGCAACAGGGAAAGATGGAACCTGGAGAACCACAGCCTAGAGCCCATGCTGGCCTGATGCCTGCCACCGTGCCAGCCTGGCTGTGAAGTTCTGATGGGGGCCTCAGCCCTTGAGGGGCAGGTGCTAGTCCTGGCTTCTTCGCTACTCTGCAGGAGTGCCACAGTAGCTGAGTGCTGTCCATAAGGCCTAGAGAGGGCAGAAGCTTGCCTCGGACCATCTGTGGAGGCAGCGGCTTCCTGGTGCAAATGTGGCACCATGGTGCTACATAGGGAGAGACAAGGGATAGCACCAGCGTCCTCCCTAGCCCCAAAGCCTAACGGTTATTCACTCCTTCTTTTGGGGTTTGTGAGTGAGCAACGCCAAGTGGCCCTCCTGGCCCACCCTTAGCCATACTGGACCCACATGCACCCAGATTGCCAGGCCAGCAAGCTTTCTAGAGCTTCTATTCCTCCCTCCCCTCCGTAGCACCCAGGTAATTTGCATAGCAGATGGGGAGAGCTTACTGCTTCCATTAGGTATTTTTGTGGTGCGTGCGTGTGTGTGTGTGTGTGTGTGTGTGTGTGTGTGTGGTGTGGTGCCAGGAATCAAACTCATGACCTCATGCTTGCCAGGTTGGTGCTGTGCCACTGAGCTAAATCCTGGCCCTGCTTCCATTAGTTTTGACCCTTGATGCCACCTCCTAGGCATGTACACTGAGGAGAGCTGCACTGTATTTTTCCTGTGCCCACTTAGGACTAAGACTATAAATAAATGCTTGTAATTGTGTAGCACTTGATTGCTCATGAAGGCCTTTACAAAGGTTACCTCCTTGATCTGAGGACACAACCGTGCAAGAAGAGACACGGGTTGTCATCAGTTCCATGTGCAGATAGGGAGCCTGAGTTAGGGAGCATTCGGGACTTGGATTCCATGCCTCCCGTCCACACAGCCTCTGCTGCTCTTTCCTCCTCACCATGGCAGCCATGTGGTCTGGCCCACTGAGAACCAAAGGGTTCTTTCTAAGTTAATGTGAGAAAGCAGGACTCTTTGAAAAAGTATACAGCACTTTGCCAAAAGAAAGTAAAAGCCAGGAAGGCGACTGACCAAGCATTGGTGAGGAAGGCTACGGTGGTCCAAGGGCTGAGAGGTGGCTCTGCTTACAGGCACGCAGTGGCCTGTTTGGCCCGTGGTTCTGGCTAGAGAGTCAGGATGCTGCTGGCAACAGGAAACAGGAAGCCAGCGACACGGCTGGGCGGGGCTTAGGAAGGGAGCGGGCACCTGGGCCAGGGCCTGTAGGCTGGCCAGTGTTCGGGCTGGGAGGAGGGGCCTGGGGGGTTTGGCCGAGCCTGTGTGTGTCAGGGCAGGGAGGAAGGGGTGTCTTCTTGTTCAGCAGCTCCTGAGGATCTTGCAGGGTAACAAGTGAGGCAAAGGCGGGTTCCTGCCTGGTCACAAGCCCAGACAGCCCTTCAAAGGCCCTTGTCCTCCGTGGATGGTTGCAGGTGGGATAGTTTCTATGCGTGGTCACTAAGCCCTAGGGGATGATCTGCCCTACAGTGTTCTATACCCTGTTTACTAGCTATATGAATTTATTCATTGAAGATTTATACTCACCAACTTCCTCCGGGGTTATTTTTGCTTGGAGGGAGCATTCTGAGGTCACCTCTTGCTAAGAATAACCCAGAAAGGGCGGGGATAGGAGAAGGAGGGGACTGGGGGCTGGCACTGGGCTTAGCTGAGCCAGGCCTGGGTTCCTTATTCTCCTTCAGCA